GTACTTCCTGAATGGTTAGTGCCCCATTTTTGTCAAACCCCTTGAATTACAGCTGAAAGTCTTGACTTCACTCCCATCTGGATGTGTTTCCTTTCAACTTCAGTATGGTAGTGTACAGAGGCCAAATGCCAAAACAATTATCCTTGTTCCAATATTTCTGGTCCTGACTGTAATGATACAATATAATACAGCCTGGGGGCTCAGCAATCATGCTCACTAACTGGAGCTGTAGTTCAGGACAGTATCAGATTGGTGCAATACTGTAAGAGTTCTCCAAGTGAGGAAAAATAGCAATTGCAATACATGCAGTACAATGCAGTACAAAGATTAGCTTCTCTCTGGTTCAGTCCCTACTGATATTTCTGATACAAAATACTTCTTTTCCATGTACATTTGAAATTATACTTACCCTTGAAAAAGTGTTGGGTAGGTGAATTTCAGGACAGACAGGACATACTGGAAACAAATGCCAAATCAGAAAACACAACATTATATATTATCTACATCTATGAAAATATATTTTACAGAAAGCATAGCATACTTTTAGGATCCAATGGGCACATTGGGAATGTGGAGGACATGACTGGGCCATTAACACAAAAGAGCTGCCATTGTCACTATGGACAGTCACAATTCCAGAAGGCATAAAGATGAAATTGCTCCTCACCACTTTCGCTAGTACCCAATATGTTGTCTTTTTTCCTTTTTCTGGATTTTTTTTTCATAGAACTCACTGGCCTGCAGAGTCCCATCATTTTTATTTTCTCAGGATGCCTGAGCCAATTTAGTGTAGTGGTTAAGGTACTAGGCTAGAAATTAGGCGATGATAAATTCTAATCCATCCTTAGGCACAGAAGCCAGCTGGGTGACTTTGAGCCAATCACTCTCTCTAGCTCACCTCACCTCATTGGATTGTTGTTTGGGGGAAAATAGGAGGTGGGACAATTATGTAAGACACCTAGAGTTGTACAAAGTAAATGCAAGATCGAATTCTAATAAATAATTGTGACTGAATGATATTACAAAGACATACTTCATTTTTGCAGTATTTCCTTACATTTTTCTGCAAACTCTGCATTTGGAAAAGTAATACTGAGAACACTCATGTTATCATAAAGTGACCATGGACAAGCCACACTTATGGAAGATGTTATGCGGCTTCATATTCAATAAAATTAGAAGCCAGTGATTGGCTAACCCAGTATAGGCTTTGTGTTATTCACTAAATACACACATCCCCTCCCCAACACAGAATAGTATGAATCTACTTTTGTGACATGAGAAGATAGGTAATCAGCAGTTTAGATGCAATAACAGTATAATTTTAAGGTAATGGTCATGGAACACTGATCCAGTATAAAGAAGAATAAAGGAAAATAGTGAATAACTGGCATGTTAATTGACCGTGTTGTTTCACACAGTGAACAAAGCCACATTTTGAGGGAAAAATCACCAAGTGAGGTTAGAACAGAAAGATTATTATATAGTATAATACCTTTGGAATTCACAAAAGTCATTTTTCATATTATTTCACAACCCTGGGAAAAGACTATAGGTCTGTGTTTAGATTATATACATTATCAGCTATATCCAACTACTATACTGTACATGTTTTGGGATGACTCTTTGCTTCCCCAGCCAGGCATTCTCAGCACATCTGAAGGATGCCAGGTTGCTGAAAGTTGGTATATACAATTTAGAGATTTCAACTCTAGATGTGAGAAAAATGAAATAATGTACATAAAACACATTAGAGATAAATTGCTTTTTACCAAAGATGCCTTCTTTTGCACTGCCCTTTCTGAGTGATAATCTCTCTCTCAGTTCTTTATCCCCCTTGAATAAAATAACATTTGCCAAAATTCTATGCATGTTCCCTTCATTATCATACTATATTGTCAGGCCCATCACATATATGCTGGTCCTACCAAAATTCTCTCCCAAGAGCAGGACACAGAATAACAATTTTAAGTTATAAGAAACCATGTTCTGATTAAGTGTTAGGAGGGAAAAAACCTTAACAAGAACTGAGTTAAATAGTGGAACCAATTATCCACAGATACGGTAAGCTCCCTTACCTGGAGATGTTCAAACAGAGGCTAGACAGCCAACTTTTGAGGTTCCTTAATTTGGATTCCAGGACCGAGCAAGGCATTGGACTCAATGATTCTGAGATCAGTATTAATTTGATTGCTTATCTCTTAATTATGTACATAAAAGCTAAGAAATCTGATAGCTTCCTCCTGACTTGAGAATATGTTGGATAAGTAGCATAGGATGCTTTAACTTCATATGACCTTTTGTGTAGGAGAAATCTATAGCCCATTTTCAGATACTTTGGTTTTACACTTAATTATTCCTACTTTCTCCTAAAAGTTGAGATAACAGGCTGTTTTCACACCACATACCTATAATTAACTAATAATTTACCCCATTAACTTCACTTTCGGGCTTCACATTACACACTGAACTATAAACTAACTATATGAACTGGATCTCACAATATGGTAGGCTGAAATGTAGTTGGCTGGTTTGTAGTTCAGTGTGTCAGGCAAACTCAGCTAGAGACAAATTTTCCTTTACTAACATAAACAGCATTTGACTTCTAGACTGCAATCACTACCTGGGATTAAGTCCTACTGAAGCTGGCAGAACTTGACTTCCAAGCAAATAGTGCATTATTAGTGAATTAATCAGCTGAAATCTTCCTTCACAGACTCTCCCCAGAAGACAATGGATTTCTCTTTGTTCTCTCCCCCAATTCTCAATGTCAGGCAAGATGCAGGATGGGCTGAATGAAGGAACCGCGGTGTTCAAATACAAAGCGCTACTGAGTCAGATTCCACCAAAAAAAAGAAAGAAAAAAAAAAAAAAGCAAACGAACCCCCACAAGCAGGCTTTAATCATGAGAAATAAACATCGGGTAGCTCCTGAACTCCTCTGCAATGCTGGAATCCTAAGCAGACCATCCCAAACCCCAACCAGAGGAAAAGGAATACATAATGGGCAGTTTCTAATACTGTAGTCGTTAGCTCCTTCATCCTCACCTTGTTGGTGAAATAAGAAGCCAAGTAGAACAAACAGAAAGCAAGACCAGTGGCAGGTCTCTTGAAAGGCATCGGTCAAAGCATGTCACCAGGCTCGGAACCGAGAGATAAGGCACCTCCGTCCTGTTACATGTGGCTGCCATGACAGGGACACGTTGGTGTTGCCTTTGCTCCAATAGGCGCAAAGAAAAGGAGCCGAGAAACAGCCTTCTTAAAGCGGTAACGCTCCCTCTAGAGCGGTGTTTCTCAACTTCCTAGAGCATGCTGGCTGGGGAATTCTGGGAGTTGAAGTCCACAACATCTCATAGTGGCCAAGGTTGAGAAATCCTGCTCTAAAGCTGTGTTTCTCTGACTTTTTGGTCTCAGGACGTTCTTAAAAATGATTGAGGACACCAAAGGGCTTTGGTTGATGTGGGTTATATCTATTGATATGTACTGTATTAGAAATTAAAACGGAGAAATGTTAAAATATTTAGTCGATTTGGCAGACCCCTGATAGGAGGGTCTGCCAAATCAAATAAATGGAGACCTCTCAGAAAGGGCACGACGGAATTAGATCAAAGGAATTGATCAGCAGGGTATAGCTGATATTTTTGAAAAGGCATGCTGCCTAGAAACTTGTCTGCATATTTTTTATCAAGATTTTCAAAGTGGAAAATGGTGTTTAATAGAATTAGGGAAAACAATGGAAAAGACAAGAAAAGGTCTAAGGTCCTACATTTTTTTTTTTTAAAGGCTGAAATAGGACATCAACTTAAAACACCTGTGATTTGTCTGTTTCTCTCAGACAAAATCAACCCATCTTCTAGGAACTTTAAAAGAGATCATTCCCTCATCTATATTTGACACCCATTAAAAAAAAAAAAGGGAGGGAGGGAGGGAGAGACTTGTGGATCCCCAGAGCTATGGATTTATTATAGCCAATGTTTTGGTCTATTAAAGTTTATTTCATCATTGCATCATATATGTTTATTGCATGATTAATTTAATTTTAAGCTGTCAGAGGTTTCTTTGCTGTTTCTGCTGCATCAGTATACCACAGCTCATCTGCTCTTTTATATTATTTTGATAATAAAGCTCACGTGATCATTCACTGCACATTATAGAGCAGTGCATAATCCAACAGATGTCTTTTTATTTATACCTTTTAACTTGACGTGCTATATTTATGATGCAGGGACAGGTGTGCTGCAGTATCTTCTGTGTCTTGAAATTAAAGCAGTGTGAAGAATGGATTGTTAGGCTTTCAGTGTATCACACTGACCAGCATAATCATAAACTAAAACCTGTGGCTTTTTTGCTTCATTCACATTTTATTCATTACTTGATATTAGCAAGAGAGCTTTTTCCGTGTGTGTGTGTGTTTGTGTAACATAAATATGGAAAGCTAAAAGAAGTCACATACTGTATTTTCTACAGTGGAAAGGAGACTAATCAAAGGAACAGAAAAGAAAGAAAAGGGGAAGTTTTCGGAGGAAGTACTCTTCAGCCTGCCACTACATCTATGGACTGTGATAAAAAACATCAAGCTCCATTCCTATGCTTTCTAGCCTAAAGAGCACCCGTAACACTGTACTAATAAAACTGCTTTTGTCTTGAAGCCATTTCTGCAACCTGATAGACCTTTATTCAGCTGTTCCCTGATCTCGCATCAATTCCCCGACAAGCAAGGGGAGAAAACTCAAGCAGAAGGAGACGGCTCTTTTAAAGCCATTTTGCGAAAAGAAGGAAGCCACAACAGCCCCCCGAAAGGATTAAACGTAACAGGGCGTGCGCGAGACAGGGTGCGTGGGGCGGGATCAATGACGGCAAGGGGGCGGGAAAAAGAAAAGCGACCTATGGGCAGGAGGAGTTCAGAGGAAATAGCTCTGCCGCCCGGCTGGAACTTGGCTTTGGAGCCAATGAACAGCCGCCGCCGATGACTAGGGGGCGGAAGAAGCTTCGGGAAGCTCCTGAAGCCGGAAGGAGCTTAATTCTATTGAGAGTCGCCTTTGCTCTCCAGTACTGCTGTTTTTTTCCCTCTTGCGCGCCTTCGGCTTGTTTCCTTTTCCGCCCAGCATGGATCCCGTTGGTATCGCTGCTGTCGCCCCCGCTGCTGAGGCGAGTCCCAGTCCAGCCTGGCCTCAAAGCAAGGTGAGGCAGGAGGGGTGCGCGTGACCTGGGCATTTCCCAAACCTGGATTGGGGGGGGCATTCTTGGAAGAGAGAGGACACCTTTTTTTTTTAAACGCGTGTACGTTTGACGCGGGGCGAAACACTGAGGAGTGGCGTTCTCAACCCTCCTGGGGTTTGTCCTGCGAGAGTGCAACTGCGTTTTTCTAGCCTCAGCCAGCCGAAAAGCTTTGGCTTTGATTCCCGCAGCTGGAACAGCTAATTCTTTAGGCCCGACTGACCTCGGGATTTCCTCTCCCTTGTTTTCAAATCGGCCCGTAGAGGTGCCATCTTTTTCTGGTAGGGCTCTACGCCTCTTAATAGTTGGTTAATACGCGGATATTCAACAGGTGTATAACAATGTAAAGGGTACAGTCTTTTTTTCCACACAGCTATTAAGTGCTCACAAAGGTTGTCAGGCGTAAGGGAGGGTCTCTTTCATCTTTTACCCTTAATAATACAAAGCCTTAACATCTCAGGGAGGACATATCATAACGTTTTCAGTGGAAACCAAGAAACCTGAGTTGGCCTGACAAGATTGTTCCCTGTAACTCTTAGCTCATTTGGGGATTTTTTATCCCAGTGTGTGGGGAATGGGGGATAACAGCAGGATGATATTTAGAGTGGTAGACTAATATCTAAGGGCCCTGGATTATAATCATCCCTAAACCTTGAGACTTACTGGTTAAACCTATCAATATATCACAAAAATGGAAGAGAGAGAAACATTGATGCTGCTTTAAGTTGGAGGAAAAGTGGATATAAAGAGAATAACCATACCCTTTGTAGTGTTTAGAATCCCATCCCACTACTTCAACAACTTTCTTTTAAATAAAAAATAAATGCATTAAAAAGGCACATGGAGGGATGACACTTTCACTTGTCTGATGTATTGTTCTATCTTAATAGACTTGTAGTCTTTCTTATTATCAGTTAAACCTGAATCTATCCTCATTTTATTCATTGTCAAAGTAAGTATACTTCTAATGCAAAAATTGCCCAGGCTTAACATGCCTAGAGATCCTCCAATAAATGTACTTTTAAAAATATTTCCTCAAAACTGAATTTTGATCTACTAAAGATAAAGGTAGTGACTACTGTAACTGAGTTTAACTTTAAATTCATATAGAGTTTAAATTAATTTAGAATCACTATGGTAATTTTCTCATTCTTCACAGTTGGACACTTTTTAAAATGGAAAAGTGATATAAAAATGTAATCTTTGAGGTAATGGGCTGAGATGTATTTTTTAAAGAAAAAAACATTTCTGTTTAATCTTATTCTTGAGCAGATATGTCCAAGTTTAAAATTAACAAGCAACAAGAAATCACAACTCTTTGGCTTATAAATGATTGTTAATTTATACTCTGAAAAAGCAGTAGGTGACAACATAAATGATTGTTTTCCCTAATTGCTGTGTTTCTTTGTATACATATTAAAAATTGTAAAGAAAAGGTGGTTTCTGTTGATCAACAAAATGTTTATCTTTGCAGTGCCCATGGGGAACTCCTAAAAACACTACAATATCATGTTCCCTTGCTGATGTCATGAGTGAACAGCTAGCTAAAGAGCTGCAGTTGGAAGAAGAAAGTGTTGCTTTTCCAGAAGTAGTATCGTAAGTTGTATAGCTTTCCATTTACATACTTATATACAGACTTAATTGGCACAGTACTTTGTTTAGTTGCAATTTTATGCACTCTGTCTTGTAAGTCTATTTTCAGTCATTGAAATATCTAAATATAGAACATGAATATGACTTTATGGAAGTGGTAATAACAGCAATTCATAGTATTTTAGATTTTATTTTTCCCACTTGAAGCAGAGTGCTTGCTGCTTTCCTCAATACTATCATAACTGTAGCCTTCTATACCTTGGAGAAGTTAAAGTTATACTTAGTGAGATTACTACAGCTTCACACTGTTGCAGGAGTTTCTCCAAGGAAGAGGATAAGCTGCTTCCATACTTTGAGGAAGTTCTGTTCTAAGTGGAAGGAATGTAATCAGACTACTCTCACCCTGCATGTTGTGTATACATCTGTGGTATCACCTAGAGCTTATTGGAGATGAGGAAACACTTCTTGTTCCTTGGGCATCTGTAATATATAGCAAGTCAGATAGGGAAGATGGCAATCTGAGTCATTTAATCTAACACAATAGTTTTCTAAAATGAGGAAGCAGCTCTTTCTGCTCTCTAAACAAAGCCCCTACACAGTGTAACACACTCAATAAAAATAAATAAATAAATAGGGCATTTCCTTCATTCTCCTTAAGTAGAGAACAGTATCAAGCAGCAGCATGCAGGAAGAAAGACATCTGCTATTACAATTTATAATTTTTCACCACAGGAAATTCAATTCTATCACTCTTTGACTATGCATATGAAAAGGCTAGTAGAAAGGGCCTAATTCTTCCACTGAATGAATATAACTTGGGCTGCCTGATTCTTTAGCCCTGTAAATTCCTGCCCATAATTTATTCAGTCTGCTGATAGAGACTTTAAGACTTCAAAATGGCTCATTGTGGGAAAAGATCTTGTTAAATATAAATATAATATCAGTCTACTGTGCAGTTGTTTGTAGTAGTCCAAATATCATTGATATTTCATTGGATATAGCAGTTTTTCTTCTGTACAATTGTGTCATGTCCATGCTGTTTGAAAGGGTTATACTCTTCACTCAAGGTTACAAAGCTGTACTGTGCTTTGATTTTATATTAATGGCTGCTATTCAACATTGTTGAATAATAGGAATAACAAGTCTGAGCTGGTGTTTCATTGTCACTCTTAACATTTTATTTTTGTCTATTACATCTAGGATTATTGATAGACCATTTGTTAGTGGAGAGAATATTGATACCTCCAGTGACCTTATGCTGGCACAAATGCTGCAAATGGAATTTGATAGAGAATTCGATGCCCAACTTCGGCGCGAAGAAAAAAAGTTCAACGGTGATAGCAAAGGTTACCTCACTTTTATCATAACCCCTTTGTTAAAATAAAGTTTATCTGTTTCTCATTCATCCT